AAGGTGTAGAGATGATGGATGGATGCTGTAAAGGCCTGGAGATGATCTCTGTTGTGGATTGATGCTGTACAACTATAAGCAAATGCAGCAGTTGTTCTAGTTTGTGGTCAGGAGTGAATAAAGACGACAGACGTGAGACTCTGGAAAAGTGAAATGTTGATCCACACACGTCTGGGCTGAAGTGTGCGTTTAGTGCACAGACCACATGAGCACAAACCAAGCAGTGAGTCACAGGTTTGATTCCCGACCAGCTGGACGTCCACCGCCCTGCTGCTCCATCTGCCATGTTTCTGCCACGTCTCCTGTCTATCTGCACTGTTTCTGTCTAATAAAGGCAACAAGAATTCTCCAAAAGATCCTAAAAAAAAAGGTTAAAAAAGTAAAGTACACACATGACGCATGAGCACACGCGGCGGGTCTGTGTATTGTCAGCTTCTGGCACACACACTCCTGCTTTAGCGTAATGGATGGCCGTGTCACACGCTAAGCACTGTTTAACTTCACCGCCGCGACAGTGCATGTGTGTTTGTGTGCGCTTCAGGATGTATGAAAGGCTGGTCAAGTGTGTGTGTGTGTGTGTGTGTGTGTGTGACTGATATCCATCCATCACATCTGAATGGTGCTGATTGCTGACAGGAAATGCCCACGGCCCTCCTGCTTCCTGATTGGCCGGTCCCTGCGGGCTGCCGGGTGGACGGGATGTTAAATGGCGAGATTGAAAGTCACAAGTTGATGAAATTAAACAGCGAGAATGAAAACAGTGTTCAGACCTGCAGCGGTCACTTTCTGGGTAGTTTGGTCCTCAGGAGGCAAACAGTCGCCACCAGATGCCACCGGGGGGCAGCAGCGAGTAGACAACTGAACATGAGGAGGTACCTGATGGTCATCAGGAACCTTTGCTCTGGAGGTTAAAAGGGATTCAAGCTATTTATGTTTGTCTCATCCAGTTTTTCCTCCTGGTTGCTTTTGTTGGCTGTAAAAACATAATTAAAAACCAACATGTCTGATTGGTTGGCACAGCTGATGAAGTCATGTGACCTGACACCACACATCTACTACACATATCTCTAACTCTGTACTACCTTCTTACCATGAACTCAGCTAGTTTTCTTTTGGAGCTGTTCCACTGTGATGCAAAAGACTTCTTCTGAAGTTTGTGGAGAGTTTTGAGTGTGAAGCAGCAACAGCAAGAAATGGTTCGTTTAGTAACTTCAACCTCATGTCCTCATGTCTCAGTAACATCCATCCATCATCTCTACACCTTAGTCCTCACTCGGGTCATGGGAGGCGGAGTCTATCCCAGCTGGCTCAGGGTGAAGGCAGGTTCACCTGGACAGGTAACCAGTCTATCACAGGGCTACACTTAGAGACAGACAACCAAGCACACTCACATTCACACCTACGGACAATTTACAATCACCAATTAACCTCAGCATGTTTGTGGACTGTGGGAGGAAGCCGGAGAACCCGGAGAGAACCCACGCTGCACGGGGAGAACATGGAGACTCCACGCAGGAAGATCCCGGG